CCTCATGGTTGCGGCAATGTGCAGCATGCCTTACCAATAAAAGTGCTGGCACATAGCCCCCAAAAAGACTCCTGGCCCGCATTCCCTGAAGGGATGTCTTTTCCTGCTTTCCTCCCGGCCCACAAAGCACATGGCCTTTTGACTGTCACAATACTGCTTCTCTACAGCCTCACTCTGAGAGCATGTGAGGCTAACACACGCGATACGGCAGCCGATCCCCCTCACTCCCGGGTGGCCATCTGCGGCACGGGCTGATGGGCGTTGGGTGCTCGAGCACCGGGACAGAAAAACCCAAGCCAGTCCCCTAGTAACTTTGATAAGATTCCGAAGGGTTGGGCGGGTTGGAAGTGCTCAAATCTGATTGAACTGTGCTGTTAGTCATTCTCTAACGGAAAAAGCGCTCCTCACATGGAGCATCGGCGAGTTGGCCGTAGTGGGTCCGGATCCGGCATCAGCCATGTCCCAGGATTCGGCAAGAGATGCCTATAAAAGCAAACTATTATTTCGGATGACTCAGATTCGGTTAGTGAAAGTATCATTGTGGTGCCCCAGGGGTCCATGTTACTGCTTGAGTGCCTGTAGAGTAAAATACCGGTATTTATGGGGTGGCGACCATAGTAGTTGAAATGTGGCTGGTGTGGTGATACCGGTAGTAGTGCGCCACAGGGGAGGGCTCCAATTGGGAAAAAGTACCGGTATGGAAGGGGCTGTAGCCATACCAGGGCCACTCAGCAAAGGTGTTGACCAAATGAACTTCTTTCCCGAATTTAGAGTGTTTGCCAGCCTCTTTCGACTGACTATTACAGTACTATCGAATTCGAAAAGGTTGCCAACTCTCAAATTTCTTTGAGTTTTTTTTTCCCCCTCGCTTCGCCCTAGCCTACAAGTACTATCCGGACTTTCCCCCCTAGAGCTTCGAACTTTGTCTCTCCCTCAGTTAGAGAACTAATCTAGGCCTATCGGAGCCTCAAGTGGGAAAATTAGGAAAATTAGGAAGGTTAAAGGGCTGCAAATTAACAGCCCTTATGAAATCGGTAATACTCGGGAGAACGCATGCAATCCACCTGATTACTCTAACACTGTATTTATTTAAACTTTCACCCGAAACCGCTAGCAAAGCTCATCTATCCTCTGCTGTTGCTGTTAAATTATGGGTCTCCAAAGTTGTCCCTGGCTGTCTTCATGCCAATTTTGTATGTAAAATGACACTTCTGAGCCACATCGGAACTCTGGCACAACATAACATTCTCGGATTTTTACCGGGGTGATTGGAGTACGCGTCAGCGGGAGCTGTAGTAACCGGAGTCTTGAGTCCCAGTCCAGGAGAAATGCTTTACGGCCCGTGAACCACAAGTAAAATAACTAAGATCCCATACTTTTGGTGTATAAAGACTATTTCACCAATACTTTTGTCCAGATACTGTATGTTTGCACTTTCTTGTATACAATGGCTTGGGGGTCTCCTAACTATCTTTAGATCCGGAATAGACCTCTGGTTTGTCGACCCTTCCTTACACTTTCACCGCCGTGCTGGCAAGTAAAAATATTAGCAAAATATAAGACCTAGTAAGACCACACAGGTATGAAGGCTAAGTTGGGGAATAAGAAGAAGACTAGGAGATCTTGACTTTGTCCATCTGCGGGTGTACGAGTGCCTTGAGCCCGTTGTCGGGATGGGCACCGCGATGCTGGGGAAGGGTGGGGAGGTCTAGTACAAATCTAGGTGCTATTATCCCGAATATTCTCTTAGAATTCACTGTACTAGTACTGGACTGCAGATATTGGCAACGATGGGCACTCGCGAGATATGAGGCCTCCAGAGTTACCAAATCAGAAGATTCCCAGAGCCCAATGTTCCAGGATCACTCTAGATATCCAACCCTCTAACCGGGCAAACACTGTTAGAGTATTATAATTGACTAAACTCTTTCTTGTATTAGTTCCAGGATTTAACCGGCTTGAATCCGAGGAGTTCGGAACGAACCCACATAAGCCCACTCCTCCAGGAAATAACCTCACGAGAACCCGGGTTTTGAACCTCGTCTGCGAAGTGCCGGAAACCTGCACCTCCCCCACGCTAAAAAAAAAAAAATCCTCTCCAAATGAAACTCTGGGGAAGCTAAGCTAACCGGGACCACAGGAGCATTGATCCTCGTCTCATCTAGCCCCGGGTACTCAAGTATGCGTTACTCGACTACGGTACCTTAAAAACTCATCGAACCCACCATTAGATCACGCAGGGGAGATCACTCTACTAAACGACATAGGTTTAGAAGAGACCGGCAGGCCAACAAAATTACGAATACCGGTACTCGAGTACCAGTTAACGAGATCTAGCAAGCTCAGCCCTTTCCGGAGACACGAAGCCCTCCGGAGAACGTGGATTTAACCATTTTTTACGAGTAAACTTCACCCGCAATAGCCGGGGAAAAAAAGGAGCACGAATACAGCACAGATCATTTCCAAACATCTCTAGCAGAGGTGAGGTAATCTCCCGGGCTAAACAATAGCGCGAAGGGAGGGTTGAATAGCTAGCCCGAAGTGTGCATTCATATATTTTTTTATTTTCTTTTCCCTCACGACTCTATCTCCATAAGAGTATCATAGTGTTTGGGCTCCCTTTCTAAAAGCCATTGTCGTTGCTAAACCCCCCTCAATCATCCAGACGCCTACAGGCATTCTTCTCCAGAAATGATCGCTTAAGGGCAAATTTTCCGGAGGGTCTCGGGTCAACTTTTAGGGCTACACTATACGTCTAGAAATTCCTTGGTCCCCGGAGTGGATGGTGTGGAATTGGACACTAACTTGGTTGCTACTGTACCAGAGTACCCCTAGCCGTTTAAACACTGTCTGAGCTCAAGTCCGACCTATCAGGTTATCAACGGGACTGATAGTACTGGCACGGCGCATGGTGGAATTGTACTTTTCGAAGTTCCTGCCCACTAGCCGGGTGGGGCTTGCATCAATTCTATTCTTCGAGGGACCATAAGACGGGTTGCATATGTTCACCAGACCGGAAAGCATTAACACCCACGCACCGTATGCGCATAGAGCTACTCCAAACGGTAAGATAACTACAGCACTGGATCTCTGGTTAATAGCTGCTTAATATACACCTCTTGCTCTTACCCTTCAGCTACCCTCCTCCTCCTCCCATAAGCTAACTGAAAATCAGGAGCACTTCCACTCCGGCCTCAGAGTCGGAGGGACCATCTGCAACTTCACCGGCAGCAATCACCACCGCGAATACGCGCCGAACATCACCCTACGGCTTCGGAAGACCCTGCAACCTGCAGCCCTGGTACTTCAACTCCGGGAAAAACACAACGATAAATCAACTCCGCCCCAGCGCCGAGAAGTATGCCGATCCATCCGGGGATGCTCTTTTCCAGGATAGCGTTGCGAAGTACACCCCTATTTACGCAATGAACCACGGTCCTACGACCATCGCGGGGAAGATTACTCTGCCGCAAGGGGCCAAGATGCCGATCGCTGGGCTTAGAAAGTCGGGGATAAACCTGCAGGATAATGCACAAGGACTAAAGCATGTCAATACTAGGGAGAAACTTCCGCTTCCTGATCCGTCTTGTTCCGGGCGTCAAGGAGGGAACATGCAAAGTGATTGGCTGCGCAGATGGAATCTTAACAATCTTCATTCGAGGTACCACCTCTGCTACTGCAGGGGAAGGCAATGAAGCCCTCAGGGGAGTGCAGGAGCTAAATATTAGGAGTGCCGGATGGTCCAAGTCTTCAGGAGATTTCGTCATGGAAAAGCACTCGATATTGGTCGCTCCATTCAGTCCCGAGAGCAATGGATATATTTGGGCATACAAGCCCCCCAACATCCCGAACGGCACCAACTTCACTATTGAATAATTTGGTCCCGGAAAGGACCTCAATGCTGTCTACTAGAGCATCGTCAGACCTATAATACGCATAACCGGGAGATTATCCAAGCGGGCAACAATGACCGGGCTCTCAGCCCTAATTTACCCTCCTCAGCCCTATTAAACAACGAAACCACGGCTTTTCGAAAACCAGCTCGGGGGGGACAAAGACCGCAGTCGGAAGCACAGGCGTCTCCACCCCGACGGAGCTATGGGCAAATCGCCCACTAGCTAAGTGGTCCCCCGCTCAATGGGAACGAAACACCAAGACTGAGATTTTGCTGGCCGGGTTATATGCACAGTACAGCGCTCGAGGATCAGAGCTTGTATGAGCCTGATGGGTTCCTTTGATTGGCCTCTTATCCAATTTTTTTTAACGAGGAGGAAGATTTATGGGCAATCAATGTTTAAGAAATATGCACATATTAGTATTGCAAATTTATCCCGAGTTCGATGACAAACCTTGCCCTAGAGCGCACTGGTGTTTAGCTAGAACGCTCTCGCACAGTCCCTCCTATGTATTTATTGGAAGCATTTTTTTTTAATTTTATTTTCGCTGAATCCGCGATGAATTCACGCGGTTATAATTTACGGGCAGCAGTAGCCTCTCTCGCCTGTGAAAGAGACAATATAAGAGATAGACTGCACTCTGTGGGGCACAGAACTCACAACCAACCACCGCTGCCACCGTACTACTCACAACCGCCGCACGCCACCAGCCGCTGAATTGAGTACGCCGGATTTTCAGCAATAACTAGCTTTGCGGTTTCGTCAAACGGTACGAGCGCGAGGGTTGAAAGAACACCGACCGGAATCGATGGCGTGCCTTAGGTGGTGGATGCTAGGTTGAGGGAAGGGCCAGTGATACGTGGTGCTTTGGCGGTGGGCAGCACCTGTTCGTTGGGGTGGTTCGGGGGTGGGGTTTGGGAGTTTGGGACTGGCGCAGGCACAGGAATGGTTTAGGAGGACAAGACCTATGCTTTTTCCCCAGAGAGATTGCTACCGGAGTATGATGTATATCGAGGTATGTAGAACCCTATTACTAGACAGCGTCGCGCCTTAGTCTCACACTTGACTGCTCAGAGTTACCCAAGTACCTGATTGGTTCAAATTCGAGTGATACTACATGTTTGAATAGTTTGAATCTGGTACTGTATAGTACAGGCCGTATCTTATTAGACAAAAGGAAAAAAAATAAGAAAAAAGCTTCAACGGCAAGTATTAAATAGATAGTTTCTAGGAACAGAATGTTGCAAAGCTTGTTAGAAACCCCATGCTCACACAGCCATCCAACCCATTAGAAAGTATCATAGCGTCGAAGGGACGTGCTAAATCCCAAAAGGAAAAACTGTTTGTACATCTCAAGGAGAAAAAGCTGTTCATTGGGTTTAAGTATCTACGAAAATTGTATCAATACACACCCATTCCCACCCACTCCTCGTATCTGTAGAAAAAAGAGAAAAAAGTACATGCATAGCCTGCGAATTAAATTGAGGTTGTATGCACGTAGAGAGAATTTAGTGCTTGTGATGCCCTCCCCCAAACCTGCGGTGGTTGTGAAGACCGCGCTTCATCTGCTTTGGGGTAGGGGTTCCCTGGCCGGGGACTGTGACTGTCGTTGCGAATGGGGTGACCGTCTCGGTGACGGTGACAATGACAAGGTATGGGTCAGAAGTGGTGGCTGCAATTCCGACATCATGCTTTTTGGGATTGTCTTGTGGCGCGGGAGAGACTGGGGCTTTCGACGTCTTTGCGGGAGGGGAAGATGGGGAAATTGAAGGGAGCTCCGGGGGTCCCCCCCCCTCAGTGTCCTTGGGTTTGGACGGATATGGGATCTGATTCCCGTTTTTGGGTCCTTCACCCGGGCACCCATCCTTCGTTGCCGACTCTGGGCCCTTGGTCACGGGGTTACACCCCGGCAGTTTCTTCAATGGACCGAATACATCCTCCTTAATGGTGCGCTTGATAGTGCATTGTTGCATCTCGCCCTCAGTGTACAAGTCGAAAACTTTGCACTCATCGATCACGCCAGATGGGGACGTGCACACATCGATTGCCTCCTGGAGAACCTTCCTATCCCAAGCATTCATGAAATCCCCATGATACCCAGATCCTGTCGGGTCTCCGGTGGAGAATACAAAACGCCCCTTCTGTCCGCCAAACTTGTCCACATCCCAGATAGTCTCGAAAAACAATGATACCAGTCTGGTCCCGAATCCCTTTGGGCAATCGCCGTCGTCCATGAGAGATGGGTAACGCATATGGTCACGGTGATCGGGGGAGTCGAGGTCCTTTCCGTTCCAGCAGGAGGGGAAGAATACCTCTGCACGGAGGCCGTCCCTGCACGAGAGGTTTTCGGGGATGGTCTTCATCCCCAGCGCTGCCTGGGCGGGTAGGTGATAGTTGAGACAATTAAACCCGATAGCTTTCTGGCGGAGTGCGTCCTCTGTCATGTCCTGGGCGGTCCAAAGAGACTTTTCAACATCCTTGTAGGGAAAGTTTCGGAGTGTTGGGTCACCGGCAATTATACGGAAGCCGTCGGGGAAAGCTTTGACGTTTTCACCGCGGGGGAGGTAGTACCTATTCATTTTTCGGAACCGTTGTATTAGTATGATGCCTGAAATATTGACATTGCGGAATACCGTGAAAACTTACACAAGCATGCCACCAGTCTGATTAACGATGTTGAAGTTGCCAGCCTCATCCTGAAAATACAAGACCGGAGTCCAGTACGCTGATCTATCCTGTTTCACTTGACAAGACGAACAGGTACTCTTAAGTAAATCCTCTTCGAGCGACGACTGACTAAACTCTTTTCCAAAGGAGTCAATAATACACAGACCAAAACAAATCCCGATCGCCGGTTTCACTTACTATTCCCTCCATGAATTGTATGCACATGCTCCCCGGCCAGGCCAAAGCTCGTAAGCGGATCGATCCGCTCGACGGTCAAACTTTGACGGCATGGCAGTCGCCAGAAAGCGCTCACCTCCAGGGCAAAAAGGGATAAGAGTGCCAGCGAATTCAACATTTTGGGTGAAAGGATGGCGGGAAGGGAAAAAAAACGGTTCATTATCGGATGGTTATCCGCAAGTGCCTAAACAAAAGAGTGACTAGGTGGGGTTGGTGGTGGTAAAAGAGTGAAAAAGGGTTAAAGGAGTGAAAGAAGGGAGGTTGTGAGAAGGAGTGGAAAGGGTATACCGGTATGCCGTTGCACAACCCAGGAACGAAGCCGACCAGCCAAGGTTGGAGTAAGGAACGAGGTAAAGAGAGAATAGAGGGGAGAGGGGAAGAGAAGGGCTTGCTTCACATATATCATGAAGGAAAGTGCTAAGAAATCTTAGCGTGTGGGATTACCCGCACAAGGCTCCCTGTGTGGCTCCCCTATTTCCTAAGTGCTTACCCCTTCCGCACGGGTTTCAACCCGATTAGGTACCATTTAGTCCCGTTAAAGGCTTGCTCAGTACCTTAGAATACCGGTGTGCTGAGGTTTCTTATCGCTAGTTTGTAGAGGTGCCGTGCCCCTTCTAATATTAATTCTTAATAATATCCAGGGTATCGTGTCATTCTTCCCAACCGGACGGCAAAGGTTTGCAATAGCAATACTGTAATACGAGTACCGTACTCGAGTATTTGTACTAGTACAGTACAGCACAGCAAACAGTACAAGTACTCGTACAGTACTTGTACAGGGAGAGTGGCTTGCCGCATCCGGAACTTTGGTAGTGCGGTTGCCATAACAATACAACTCATCAAAAGATTGGCCAATAAGATTCGCAGTTTCGGGGGACTGCAGGAGCAAACTCAACCAAATCATTATTGTAATTTCTCTTTTCTGCAGGTCTTCTTCCTTATGGAGACCGGTATGGGTGAGGGTCCTGGCTGCCGGCGCATATCATCCAAACATTCCTTTCCATCTCAGTGTCATCTTCCCCAGATTGTCTTTGTCTCCAACTTTTTTCCCACTCGAGGGCGTCACCGTGCTCGAGCCAGGATGCTGGCAATCACTCGAGTGCGATGTCATTATCCTTGACGGTCGTTGAAACACCCCTTATGTCATTATCCTCTCCTAAGACAACCTGAAAGGCCCTCAATTTCCTTGCAGAGTTACCGGTATCTTAGGCGCCAGCCCATTCCTGCATTTTCAAGCGTTTCACCCAACTAGATTGATCGACCCTTAAGCGAGTCCATGTGGTCTACCATAGTTACGAAGGGCAGAATTTAAATGATGAGCGAGAGAACCATGGTTAGAGTCACCTCCTAAATCTCTTCGGTACGTACTGGTGTTCCCTTAACTCACTGGAATTTTGGGGAGACTCTTCGGGAAGGTGTCTAAGGGCTATTATTGCTTTTTGTGGAGGTGTGGCCGACAGCCCAAATCCACAACCCCTCGTCTCATCATGTCTCCACGGTACCGTACCTGCGAATGTGTGGCACGGCGGCGTTTGTCGGGGAAGTAGCCTGCTCTCGAACTGCACAACTGCCCCGTCCGACAATCCCATCTCCAGTCATGCAAGTAGACTTGATCACCAGGGGGAAGCCTACTTGCACCGTTAGGTTTGTTTCCCCGTACTGTACAAGTATCATACAACACGAACATTCCAACATAGGTGCAGTAGCCTACGAGCCACATTTCAACCAACACCACTCTGCCCATAACGGATCTTTGCAGCGGTAGTTTCCCCCCCGGGATAGTCTAATGGAAGGGAGATTCCACACAACCCCCTAAAATACCGTGACTTTCCAGCCCCTGATATTAAACTCGAAATCCCCCGGTCTCTTGGCTAGCTCCTGAACCCTACCGTAGATTGTCAAATGCATAGCACACGTAAGGTACAACTCCAGAGAGTTGCCAAATCTCGCTGTCTCGGAATTAAAAAAAATAGGTATACCTCGCCGCCCAGCACGAAATTCCGGGAATTCAGAAAAAAATACCACCAGAACTTAACTCGTCGTCCGGGATACTCGTTGTTCTGGATAGACTCTTTGGATTCTGGTCATCCAGGATAGAGGGGTGCGACTGTGCTTTGTACTTTACCGTGCTACAAGTAGTACCGGTACTGTATATCGCGGGAAGTCAATAGCGCACGTTCGCACCGGGGTATCTTTTTTTCTTTTTCTTTCTCTTTTCCCTTCTCGCTTACAGGTACAAGCAGTGCGATTGACGCGAAACCCTCCCTGAAGATAAATGGGAGTATTATAGGGTGGTAGTGATTGCGCAAGAAGCGTTTTCAAGGGTCTTTGTTGATTATCAAGGTGCTACCATTGCCGATAGTATCTTTAATTCTGCCCTGTATGACCGAAGACAGAGGACTTTCAAGTAGGTACCGTACGCACACAGAGTGCTCGTAAGGCGGCCATGCCGGGCAGTTTCGCCTGAAACACGAGTTTACCTTGATATGGCACTTTTTGGTCCTACCTGCCTAAGTTTCTGGATTTATTTCTTCTGTTTTGCTTTGGGTTTCCATCTATTATATGGTGCTATAAGTATCGGATCCTTCCCGCGTACAAAGGCTGCATCCTATGAAGTATCATACTTGACATGAACCTTGGGTCGTGTTATTTTCCTTTATGCTATCGCACAGTACTCGAGTAGGGGATGGGGTAGAGCCGTTTTTCTTGCCTCTACCCGCAACTTCCGTCGGAACGAGCCCTGAATATGTATTCTCTTTTCTTTTTCCAACCATGTTGCCGCAGATAACCTACTGGTATTTCGAATAGACAAGAGTTGGGGGCACGGGCTTGCCCTTGTGTTGGGTGGATGATTTCGGCGGCTGAGAAATTTGATTTTCCCGTGGGGAGTTTTGCAGATTGATTTTACGGCCAGGAGCCAGGATAGCATCGGTCAGGACTCAGGCGGCCTCTGAGGTGCCCCTGGCTATCTGCGTTATGTGACATTCCAAACTCCGGTGATTCGCTATCCATAGAAATCCCTGTACCATCCTACGATACCTGTAGGTTCGGTCTGGCAACTTAACGGAATTGGGAAAGTTGTTTAGAGTGATCAAGCTGTACCGTGTCAGGAGAGCACTGATCGGTCTTAAGAGCTTTTGTATCTAAATCTGGATATATTGGATATCTTCTGGAGATACTGGATCACAAGAGTCGTTTGATTTTGGGTATGTCACAGGCACTTCCTGAGGAAGCACACAATGGCAACAAAAGTCTAAAACAACGCAGGATCAAAAGAAACAGGATCAGGAATCAAAATAAAAATAATGAGTATCATCCAAGTATAGCACACGAAGCGAGCCGCTGTCAAGAAAGGCAAACAATTGATGCAGTCTGCGGCGCAACCCGGTGTACAGTACTCGTACTGTATCGGTACTCGCCCCGGGGCCAACCAAGGAAGACCCCTTTTCTACCAAACCTACCGGTATGTTATCAGAAATGAGATTGAATTTTGGTTTTTGATCAATCCAAGAATTTACATTCAACATTCAGGACGCCGCTAGAAGTAAAAACAGGGAGTTCCCCGACTGTGATAACCCCTGGTGAACTCAAATCATACTTGAGTGAAAGTATCGGGATGAGCTGTCAACCCCATGTGGAAAGGGGTGGTAATAAACACCGGCTCTCTCCGTAGAAAACTAGTGGGAGAAATGTGAGCCCACATCTAGACCCCCGAGGGAAGGCATGGGACGTACGGTGTCGGTATTGTAGGTAGGGACACCTTATATCACGTAATTTATTGATGCGGAACAGGAGTGTTTGAGTACAAGTGCGGTACGCGGGTTGAAGGTCAGACCAGACGCCAACTGCTGGGAACCCGAGACCTCGAAGAGAGTTAACAAAGGTGATCGCTAACCGCTAGGTCGATGTAGCGAATGCGGCGGGGTGGAAAACAGCAACATGGTCTGATCGGTGTCCCAATGTTTTCTTCGGAGCAATGGAAACTTAATTTGCGCTGGTGGTGCCCTACACCTTGAAGAAAATAAATAAAACACAGTGCGGGAGATACGGCGCCCTGGTATTTTAGCCGGTTGGGGTTGGGGCATTGATCCCGGGTGCAATCCTCGTCTGAGATTAATCTATTGGGAAAAATTACAGAAAAAGTTAGCGTGGTATCGTTCTCGAGCCTTTCGGCCCGTTATCAAAGGTTCACCTTATGTAACAAGGGAGGCAGGGGGTTATTTTCTGCCGATTCCGCACTGTGCTGACGGCCGACCGGCCATCGCTTTACGAGTATATGGTTCTTGAGCTTGGGGCCCTGGAATAGGTTTACCGATCGGGAATTGCGAAATATCGAGTGACAGGCGGTGCATAATGTGGGTGATCTGCTGGTGTTTCTATTGAATGAATCGCAGGCCCCCTGATAATGCGAAGACAGTCCAGCTAGATCGCAATGACATTACGGGCACATAGTTGGAATCACCGGCTATATGGCATGAGAAGCAATTTCAATTGCTATGACTAGAGACACTATACCTCGTATCTGAGGTAGTAGAGTGGGAGAATTTCGGGGGTGTCCATGCTCTTTGAGCGTAAGCGAGTGGTTTTACAGGGGACTGGAATAAAAGTTAGTCATTTGAGAGATTGGGTAATTGATTGATCGTGGCGTCGCCTGAGGATAGAGAAAGTAATATATATGTATGTATTCTACTAGATTCGACCCATGTACAGTATGGGCGGTGGAGGCCGGTCTACATCACGTATCACGGATAGAGCATAGAGCTGGGGAGATTGGAAGTGCTAATACGGTAGTTGTGAACAGTGTTTCAGAGTATCTGTGAGAAGTTGGGTGGAATCTCGATAGAGGGTCACCTACTGGATTACCTAATACAGCATAATTCTCGCTTGTGTGGTTTTTAAAAATTCTTTAGAACTTGAAGTTGAGCATTATTTTCCTGGGGAATAAATTTGGCTGACTGCTTTGGGTGTGGTATTTGGAGCTTGTGTGAGAGGGAGGTATGGATAGGTTTGGTGCTGTGCACCGATTACTTCATAGGAGTGGGGGTGCAGATACGGTAGTTTCATTGGTCGGACGGTGGTGCTTGGCGGATTGGTAGACATACGAGTAGAAAGTTTTGTTCTTTGTGTATGTTTCATTCGCGGGCGGAGAACCGGTACTGGTATATACTCTTTTAAGATCAAGTTACCTGTTGTGCACTACTTTGCCCTGCTGTCCAGTGCGGCGACATATTTAATGTTTAGTCGTACATTTTCTGGCTAAAAACGTACTACAGGAACTGGTTTTCGAATATTCGCAATGGAATTATAGGTTATTTAACTACTCATGATCTCGGCT